TTCGCGTCCTGGACCCGGTGGCTTCAAACTCACGCCAGGCGCGTGTGCATGCGTGCCCAAGATCCCGAGAGGAGAATGGAGGAGAAGGGATTGCGGTGTGACCATTCCCCCTGGGGGGTGATTTCTCGCTTTCTGTCTCCATGTCTCTCTCTCTCTGTCTGGCGAGCGCACGTGCCTAATAGTGAAAATCCCCACCCCCCCCAAAAAAGGTTACATCACTGGACTCCCATACAGTCAACCTTGGTTCAAGTCCTGGATCTGGAGGCTTAAAAAACTCACACCAGGTACATGCGTGTGCATGCCCAAAATCCTGAGAGGAGAATGGAAGAGAAGGGATTGTGGTATGCCCATCCCCTCTGGAAGGTTGTGATTTCTCACTTTCTGTCTGTCTGTCTGTCTGTCTCTCTCTCTCTCTCTCCAGAGAATGCACATACCCTATAGTAAAAATGTCTCAAGTGAAAAAAAATGCAAGGTCTGGCAAGTGGCATGGTGGTTAAGGGTGTTGGACTCCCACATGGCCAATTGCAGTTTGAATCCCAGACACGGTGGCTTGCTTCTCACTTTTCCTCTCTCTTTCGCTCTGTTCCTCTCTAGTAAAATTGAAGAATAATAATAAATAAATAAAATTAAGTAAATAATTCTTTTTAAAAAAAAAAAGAAAGGAAAGAAAAGAAAATAACTGGGTACATGTGCACAAGTTCCCAAAATCCCCAGAGGAGAAAAGAGGAGAAGGGACTTCAGTGTGGCCATCGTCCCCTGCCCCATGCCGGGAGGAGGGTGATTTTTGCACTTTCCCTCTGTCTCTCACCAGAAAGCATATGTGCCCTATGGAAAAACCTAGGGAAAAAAAAGAAAAGAAAAAAATAGAAATAAAATATAAATTTATTTTGCTGCAAAAAAAATTGAAACCCATGCATAGTTTTTTCATAATATAAACTCCATGAAGTTTTTTTTGTTTTCTTTTTTTGAGAAGTTTTTGCTATAGGGTGCGTGTGCTCGCCAGACAGAGAGAGACAGAGAGATAGAAAACGAGAAATGACCCCCCAGGGGGGATGGCCACGCCACAATCCCTTCTCCTCCATTCTCCTCTCAGGATCTTGGGCATGCACACACACGTGCCCGGCGTGAGTTTTAAGCCACCAGGTCCAGGACTTGAACCGCGGTCGACTATGTGGGAGTCCAGCGACATAGCCATTACACTAACTCCTGGTCCCTCCATGAAATTTTTGAAGATCCCTTGTATTATACCATTTCCTAAAGAAAAAGAGAGCCAGATCAGCCCATAGCATTGTGGTGCACTCTATGCAGCCAATCAGACTGACTGAAATGCAGAACTTCGAATTATGTGTTTAACATATATCATATTCATTGACCTGTGCTGCTGTGTAAAGATACTCCTCAGGTATTTCATGGACAGGAAAATCTGCCTCACCATATAATTCCCAGCCAATATTTCCCAGGGTCAGATCCTATATAGAAGAGGTTGGAAACCATGAAAAAATTAAACATGATTTATGAACTGGGCACAGGGGAGAAGCCATCTTTTAAAAAATGATTTCGTCTGGGGTCAGCAGGCACTAGATTCCTACATGGCTGACCATGGTCTGAGTCCCAGACCTGGTGGCTTGAAAATCCCAACAGGTGAGTGTGCATGTATACCCAAAATCCCAAGAGGAATATAGAGAAGAAGGGACTGCAGCATGGCCATTTCTCTTGGGGGGTGATTTCTCACTTTCTCTCTGTATCTCTCTGGTGATGGCACATACCCAATGGCAAAAGCCTTTTTTAAGAAAGTTATTTATTGGGGCCAGCAGGTGGCATGGTGGTTAAGGTGCTGGACACTCCCACATGGCTGACCACGGTTCAAGTCTTGGACCTGGTGGTTTGCTTTCTCACTTTCCCTCTCTCTGTGTGTCTTTCTCTGGTTAAATTAAAATAGATGAATGAATGAATAAAGTTAAATAAATAATTATTAAAAAAAAAGGAAAGTTATTTATTTAATTTTATTTATTATTATTATTACTATTACTACTATTATTCCAATTTGCTATAGGGTGCATGTGCTCAACAGAGAGAGAAAAGCAAGCTACCAGGTCCAGGCAAAATCCTTTAAAAAACAAAAAAAAGATTTTGTCCTCTACAGTTTATGTACCAAGTGGCAGAAATATAAACCAAATCTGTTTCTAGATAACTTTGACAAGAGACTGTCGACAATCTAAGGTAGACCCAGCATCTATGGCACAGCTATGCCAAACTGCAGAGCTGGAAGGCACATGCCAACCACACTTTGAGTCCCTGGCTCAACTGGCCTGAAAACATGCCAGGCACATGTAGGGAGGTCCAGGATCTTGGTGGGCTAGAAGAAGGAGGTAACGGAGTGTAGAAGGCGCTTTCCTCCTCTCTCCTAAGTCTAAGGCAAACTTACCCCTGCCTGTAGCAACAGACAATTACCAAGTCACGACACCACAAAAAGGACTGACTGGTCAAGGGCTGGCTGGTGGTACGGTGGTTAAGATGACTGGATCCCGGAGACCAGCAGGTGGCATGGTGGTTAAGGTATTAAACACTCACACATGGCCAACCACGATTCGAATCTTGGAGCTGGGGGCTTACTTTCTTCTTTCTCCCCACCACCACCGCCCCCGTGTCTGTCTCTGGTCAAATTAAAATAAATGAATGAATAAAAAATCTTTAAGAAATAATTTTTTTTTTTTGGAGAGGTTTTGCTATAGGGCGCATGCGTTCAATAGAAAGACAGAGACAGAGACAGAAAGTGAGAAATCATCCCCTAGGGGGGATGGCCACACTGCAATCCCTTTTCCTCCATTCTCTTCTTGGGATCGTGGGCACGCACGCACACACACCGGGCGTGAGTTTAAGCTGCGGGGTCCGGGACTTAAACCACGGGTGACTACAACTGGGTGGAGGTCCAGTAACCCAGCCATTAAGCCAACTGCTGGTCCCAGGAAATAATTCATTTTTTTAAAATAATTATTTATTTTAAATTTTATTTATTCATTAATTTATTTTAATTTGACCAGAGAGAGACAGAGAAAGAGAGATAGAAATAAAGTGAGAAAGCAAACTACCAGGTCCAGGACTCGAATGGTGGTTGGCCATGTGGGCGTGTCCAGCGCCTTAACCACCAAGACACCTGCTGGTCCTCGAATTCTTTAAAAAGAAATAAATAGGGGCAGGACCAGCAGTTAGTGGAATGGCCATGTCACTGGACTCCCACGTAGTCGACCACGGTTTGAGTCCCAGACCTGGTGGCTTAAAATTCATGCCGGGTGCCTGTGTGTGCATGCCCAAGATCCCGAGAGGACAATGGAGGAGAAAGGATTGCAGTGTGGCCATTCCCCCCGGGGGGTGATTTCTCGCTTTCTGTCTCTCTGTCTCTCTCTGGTCAAATTTAAAAAATAATAATAATAATGGTAATAAATTAAAAAAAAAAAGAAAAAGATGGCTGGATCCCACATGGCCAACTGTGTAATTTAAATCCCAGACCCAGTGGCTTGAGAAACACACTGGACATATGAGCATACGTGCCCAAAATCCAGAGAGGAGAGACAAATGGAAAAGGGATTACGGCATGCCCATCCCCCATTGGGGGATGCTTTCTCTCTTTCTCTCTCTCTTACTCCCACAGGCACATGCACCCTCTAGCAAATGAAAAAAAAAAAAAAAATTGGTCAAGTAGCTGGTACCAAGGACTATGAAAGTTATTTGAACAACCTCTTCATGGCATCTTCTGAAACTTCCCAGCTGGAAATAAAAAGTAACCTAAACTGCTGACCTCCTACTCTCCCCCTCACAGCCTATACAATGTCAGGGTCCAAGAAAAGAATTCATTTCACTGTGTTACATTTCCATTGAACGTCTACATTGCCTAACAGGCTGTGTTAAAGTTTTTCCATATATAGCACAATCTTGCCAGAGCAGGCTCTGAGAGTCAAAGGGGTTCTTGCCAGAGGGATCTGTAACAGCTGCACTAGTGTTATATTTCAACCATGTTCCTAGTCAATAAACTGCGCTTCCACCAACTATAAGTGATTTTTTCCTAGTACCTGCTCCTACCTACACAAAATATCTTTGATTTGGAAAAAAATGTTTTCTGTTTTCTACCCTCTTTATCCTTCTTTTAAAAATCAAAGACTGGGAGCCAGCAGGTCGTGTGGTGGTTAAGGGCACTGGACTCCCACATAGCTAACTGCAGTTTGAGTCCCAGACCTGGCGGCTTGCTTTCTCACTTTCTCGATCTCTCTTGTTCTCTCTCACTCTGGTCAAATTTAAATAACTAAATAAAGCCAAATAAATAATTTTTTAAAGAATTATTTAATTTTATTTATTCATTCATTTATTTTAATTTGACCAGAGTGAGAGAGAAGGAAAGTAAGAAAGCAAGCCACCAGATCCAAGACTCGAACTGTGGTTAGCCATGTGGGCATGTCCAGCACCTTAACCACAATACAATCTGCTGGCCCCCAATAAAATAATTTTTAAGAATTATTTTATTCAACTTTATTTAATTATTTATTCACTTTAATTTGACCAGAGAGGGACAGAGCAAGAGTGAAAGCAAGAGAGAAAAAGTGAGAAAGCAAGCTGCCAGGTCTGGGACTTGAATTGTGATCAGCCTTGTGGGAGTCCAGTGTCCTTAACCATCATGTCACCTGCTGGCCCCTCCAGGATCTCTTCTAAACCACAAATGTAGAGACTTACTTCATAAACACAGCTTACAATACACATTTTGGAATCCTTGAATCTGATTCTAAAAGGCCATGTACCAAGTTTATTTCTCTTCTTTAATGCTCTCTCTCATCCTTCCCCATCCCCACACACCCACCATTAATTACTGTATTTCTAAGTACTGGAAAGAATCAGGCACGATATTGACTTCAGTTCCATATAGGCATGAAAAGACCTCCACCACTAGATTATCTTTTTTGGACTCCTACTTTCAAAATAGGAACCAAGAGGGTACATCCTGCAGTCTTTTGTCATAGGACAGCACTGGGCACTGCCACCTAACAGGCACACACCACAAGAACATTTTATTCTCCCCTCTAACACTGTAAATGGATGGGACTGGAATTGGTTCTCAGATGTTGATGATGAAGCTCCCATTTAAATATTTCAACGCATTTAGAACGTCCCCAGCTCATCCATAAGCATCCGAAAAGGCCTTGTCCCCAAGAATAAAGGAAAGCCATTACTCTGAGCTTATGCAATCTTCAGGCTTCCCAAAATCTAGTCGGAGAACGACCTCCGTTCCCCACGGCCCAGAACTCAGAGAAGGACTACACCTCTCCCTGGTGAGATCACTAAGCCTCTGAGACACGGGGAAGGAGAAAGGGGATGCGAAGTATTGACCGGAGACCCTAGGTGCTGCCGTGAGGCTGAAGGAATGTGTCCCAACTACTCACCAGGAAAGCAGAGAGGATACCCTGCAGAGCGTCCAGCTTCTCTTCTTCCTCCTCCTCCTGCAGGACACCCAAGATGTAGGCGCCGTAAACAGCTCGGTCTACTCCCAACGCCTCCAACCGTGCGTCCAGCCATGATCCAAAACCGCA